TTTCTTAAGAAAATACTTCTCACTGGTAGTACTGGTAGTGCTGGTCGGCGTTGCCAAACTGCGTAAATCACACTACACAGCGATTTTGCAATGGCGCTCATTGTGAACAGTATAAATTCAAACTTTTCGTTTTAACAGGTGATGTTTGTGTGAGTAAACAGTTTAGCGCCTCCCATTATTCCTGTTGTTGATTCATAACTGGCGCGTTTTATTTTATTTTTTTTTTTTACTTGGAGATGCCTGTAGTGTTATGCAATTGTGCGCATGTTATTTTGCTTAAAAATTAAAATCTGATTAATTGGTTTAAGAACCGTAATTTAGCGACAGCTCTAGTCAAGCTGGCAGAATCACAGCACTGTCTGTGCACAGGAAATGTAACCTCTAAGCCAGGAAAGACTACCCGCTAATATACTGTATAATCATTTTTTTTTCTTTCCATCCTGATGTTCTGTGTGCTCATTTTTAAACAGCCACTCACATGATTGTGAATATAATTTGCTTTCGTGCAAACTATCCATCCTTATTTTGTGCATGCATCAATAAAATCATTTGAGGGAGAGAGAAGAAAACTGTGAGACGTAATGAAGAAGAGTGTTCGGTGGTGAAGGCTTTAGCCAATAATTAGTCACAGCTTCTTACTTTAATATCGCCGGTAACACTGAAGCAGGATTATATTACAAACGCAGCCAACCAAAACAGGCTTGCATCAGTGGGTATGCGAAATCCACCTAATTGCAGACATGACATCATGTAGCATAACCACACCATGCATGTGTAATAAGCCCCAAATGCATCTTTTGCAAGCGGTTTTGTATGGGTTTTATGGTAAAGTGGTAAATGGACTGTACTTGTATAGCACTTTTCTGGTCACCAGGAGCATCTAGGGCAGGGGTGGACAATTTTTACAAGGGGCCACATGAGAAACCTGAACTGTGTTGGAGAGCCGAACCAACGATAACTTGAACTTAATTCTGCTCAATATTCATTATCTCCCGTTGTAAAAAGCAGTAAATTATATGTGTTGATTAGCTGCTACTGGTAATCAGAAGAATAAGCATATTCTATAAATATTTATATAAACATATGAAATTGTGGTGTAGGTCAAACAGGAAAATACTCCTATAGAAGTAATAAACAGTAAAAACCAAAACAAACATTACATCACAGTTCCATTTTATTTTCTACTTCACATAACACTAAAAAGGTGTTTTGCAGTACGGTAAAGATTTGCATTTTCAGTTCATTTTACTTGTTCAGTGAGAGAAATCCAGTCTGGCTTGGGCTTGAACAAGTGCATTGAAATCTGGATTTGTTGAACTTCATCACTGAGAATGTCTGTTCACATATGTAGGTAGGTCCAAAGATTTCCTGCGATGTCCTCAACCCTCCTCGTTACAGTGCGTTGGGAGAAGGCCACGTTCTCATACGTGCCCTTTTTCTCCAGGCGTATTAGTGCTGCAGAGTCCAACAAACACTCTTTAATAAACTCTCCGCCAGAAAATGGCTTATTTTTTCTGGCGATTTTGTGGGATATGACATAACTTGTCTTGAAAGCTGCATCTGTGGGTGTGGAAAGTTTTGTACAAAAGTCTTTGTTGGTTATGCAGGTTCACTAGCAAAGCATCCCACTCTCTTGCACGCTCTTCATCCAAACAGTTCTTGTATTTCTCCTCATGCTTGGTCATGTAGTGGCGATTCAAATTGTAATCCTTGAACACAGCAACCCGTGTACCACAAACTAAGCGCATCGCTTTACCTTTGACTTCTGTAAACAAATACTTTCCAGTCCATGTCTTGTTGAAAACGCGGCATTGGGCATCAACTTTTCTTTTTTTGGCGTGAGTTGACATTTTGAGGGTTAGCTGGCCAACATCACCTGTCTCTCACCCTGTAGATCGGGGATCTTAAGTTCACCCGTGAACTTTTTTCATTCATGTTCTGATTTGATGGACCTCACGCGGGCCAGACAGGGACGCCCAAAGGGCCGGATGTGGCCCGCAGGTCGTAAAATGCCCAGGTCTGATCTAGGGGTTTAGTGTCTTGCCCAAGACTGGGGAGAACGGAAGTCGAACTGTCAACCCTGTGATCAGAGAGGTCAACCTGCTCAACCCCTGAGCCACATTTGAGTTTGGATTCACTCAATGATGAAACCTTGCAACATAGCAAAGGGCTATTAAAGTTTCAAATGCCAACTGAAACAATTAGGCTGTACACTGGTTTGGACCAGTGTAATAGTGTTTGACTGGCTTGTAAGAACAGCATTAATCAGTTTTTCATACAGTAAGCGTGTTGAACTGTCTGAGATGAGGAAAAAGTGTCACCCTTTTATACATTTGGAATGAATATAGTTGATGTTTTTGATGACGTTCTTGTGCTTCTAACCAGATGCAGAAAGTACCATGCCATAAACACTCCTTCCAGGTGATATTTATAGTGTACCATTTTAGACCTCTAGATCACCATAGTGACATTTGCAGAGTCACTATGTTCATCATTCTTAAACTGGTATGTCACGTGAACAGTGTTTAAATTAAAGCAAACCATTTCACAGGAGGTCATGCTACACTTTTTTTCATTGTCCGTCATTTTTATGGGCAGTCACAAAAATTCTGTCATAATGTATTATTACTCATCAGTTTAATTTTTTTATCGACAAGACGTAGCCTATTTAACAGCATTTAATTTTAATTCACTTTCATTTTATTTTGTAATATGCTGAACAAGCTAATGTGCAGCCATTTTTCATGTCAACACATGAACTGAAACACTGCAGCCATTATGCATAAACACATAAAAATGAACACTAATTTTATAAAATTAGACAATTGTCAATTACTAACTGTATTGAACTCAGCTGTCCTGCTGTAACCCAGCCTGCTGCAGAGGGGACTGTCAGTAGGTTTTGCATCTTCGGACAGACAATTACTCACGCCAGTTATAATTTAGATATGAAAGCTGCACCTGCGCTCTGCTGCCACACTGGACTGGACTGGTTTTTTTTCCGTCATTATTAAAAAAAAATTCTATCAATGACAGAAAATATTAATTTAACGTAACCGCTGCTTTCACATTAAAGATAAGTAGAGTTCTCAAACTCTTAAGAGTGCTAATGTTTTACTTTTGAGTCATTGTATAAATTTAGGGCACAGATGTTAACATGCTTTTCTAATAATTAAGTTTATGGTTTAAAAATATATAAATATTTATCCCATCTCCCCACCCATCTGTTTTTCAGCTGTAAACAATGGTTAAACAACTGTTGTCGCCAAGATTTGGCCTCAGAACCTACTGAGCAGTTGCACAAGCTGTACAGACTTTGTGCAAAGCACTTTGAGCCCTCGATGATCTCTAATCAGGTAAGAAGTGAATCTATTTCCCATTATCCTTTGTTGTATAATAATATTGAGGAAAAAACAGAATTGTCATTTTGCCCCCTTTTTTGTTGTTATTATAGTAAGACTAGTGCTGTTCTTGATCAGACACTATGTATAGGCTAATAACTAATAACACTTGCTGTGTTGTTTTCACAGCTGGCAGGATACTTCAATACAAAAGTCGAGAAATAATTTCTATCATTGTGAAGTTTACAATTGGGGATGGGACTCGTTTCAATTTTAACGATTCCAATTCCGATTCTGCTTATCATTCCGATTCTTAACGATTCTTGATTCCGATTCCGAAACTTTTTTTTGAGAGAAAAAAAATCAGGCAAATACTTCAAAGCAAATACTGTCCATTTTGCCGCTGAAGAAACACACTTTGAGCCCCAAGATTTAGGGCATGTGCAAAACAGCCTATTTTAAGGAGATGAAGCTTTTGTACTGCCACATTCATGTTAGAGGCATGATCCACTGCAAGATAGCTGCAACTTTGCTTCTTACCCCAAATTCATCTAAAATGTCCCCAATTTCTTCTGCTACCACTTCCCCTGTTTGTGCTCTGCACACTGACTATGTTTTAAGTAAAGCATTCCAAAGCCGGGGGGCAGAGCGACTAAATGCCGTGCTCCCCATAGTGGTAAGGCGGGCAGAGGGAAGAACAAGATGAAGAGAAGAGGCAGAATGAAGAGAATGGGAGGGAATGGCAATATTAATAAGGTTGGACAGATACGAGGGTGCAAGACCGTGAATAGCTTTGAAGGTGTTAAGAATAATTTTATAATTAATTCGAAACAGCACAGGCAGCCAATGAAGCTGCTTCAAAACAGGGGTAATGTGATCGATAGAAGAGGTTTTACTAATGATACGGGCAGCAGAGTTCTGAACCAGTTGAAGTTTATGGAGGGATTTGTGAGTGAGACCAAAGAGGAGAGAGTTACAATAGTCAAGGCGAGAAGTGACCAAACTCTGAACGAGTATTGCAGTTAAGGCGCAGCGCTCTCACTGCGTCTACTTTGGATAGAATTGATTTAGTACCTACTAAAAAAAAATTCAGTTTTATTACTATTCAGTTTGAGAAAATTATTTGAGAACCAAGACTTTATTTCAACCAGGCAGTTTGTAAGGGAGGGAGGTGGGAGTGTAGAATTAGGTTTGCAGGAAAGGTAGAGCTGGGTGTCATCCGCATAACAGTGAAAGCAAATGTTGTATTTACGGAATATGTAGCCAAGGGGGAGGAGGTATATGATGAACAGAAGGGGCCCCAGGACCGAGCCCTGGGGCACACCAGTGGAAACTGGGGAAGGAGTGGAGGTAAAAGACTGACGTTTAATGAACTGAAAACCTTTAAATGAAGTGAGGAGAGTGAAAGACATGTTTCTGCCCTGAATGAATTCAAGTAAGACCAAAGAGGAGAGAGTTACAATAGTCAGGGCGAGAAGTGACCAAACTGTGAATGAGTATTGCAGTGGTACGAGAAGTGAGAGTCCTTTGATTGACTGTTGACATGGAATATACCATTTATTTTTGATAGACACATAAGACATCTAACTGACATAAGACATCTAACTGACATAAGACATCTAACTGACATAAGACATCCACATCTACAGCACTGAATGTCAAATTATAAATGTAGGTGAATTTATTTCATAAACCCATTGCTTCCAAGAAAATGACATGAGATGGCAGAACCTTTTATAAATTTTAAGATACTTCTTATTAATGACAGTGCAACAGGTCAAGCAGCTAAATCAGCCTTTGACCAAGTGTATTGTAGGTGTAACTTTGACTTATCAAGAACTGCAGTTTGTAACTTGGAGACTCTGACTAAAGGCAGCATTATGTCATGTCAATTCATGTCTCTTTCACATAAATGCATTTTGTTGTTTTTGTTTTTTTTCAAATGTTATTTTGTCTACTTTTTGTCATGAAAGGTTTCATCAACAAATAGTTATTGTCTTAGTTTTGGTTGAAAAAAAAAACCGACACTGTACCTATACAAGGGAAAATAAAAATTCTGCAGGTTGTTAAATTATGAAAGGAAAATGTAGTATATAAGAGACTGTTGATGAAATCACATTAATACTGGTGGACAACAACAGTGTGTTGTTCGGTATTATCAGTGTGTTTTGCGATAAATAACGACTTTTTCATAACAGCATAAATGTTTGGTTACTTCCAAATGACCTTTTTTAGACTTTGTGTTAGAAGTGGGAACACTAAAATGTTTTTGTCATTCTATAACCAAGTATCAAAGTGCTTATAATTATATAAAATCTACCATTTAATATAATAGATTTCTTAATTCTAATATCATATGGCATGAACGTATTTATGCCAGATTCTCTGACATAGAACATTTAGGCTAAGAATAAAAATGTGCTTTCCTGCTTTTTGTTTTTCAGAGTGCCTCCAGATGTGTCTTGAGGGAAGATGCTGTTCCAACAATATTTGACTTTACAACACCTATGAACAGTCAGTCAACCTGCAACAGGAAGCGAGCTAGAGATCCTGTAAGTATTTCAGTTTTTAAGGAGACTGCATTTCTCATTGAATATTAAGCACTAAAACACTAATTTATAATTATCTATTTTATGGTCTTAGTCGGAAGAGGAACTCATTTCTGTGAAGAAAACGAAAGGTACAGTGAATAGTTTAGGCTTAATTCATTCTTGAAAAATGCCCTTATTTAAGCCTCTTGAGTTTCAATCTCTGTTTAAATGAGTTACTTATTGTAAATATTGATTCACTGATTGAATTAGGAATTTTTAAAATCCTCTCAGTCTTTCTATTAGTTTTTTTTCCCTTCCCATCAGAAAACACATCAAGACCAGAAGTGACGGAGGAGAAACAAGTGTCTGGAGAGAACAGTTCAACAGCTGAACTTAAAAATGATAGCCAAACCCAAGAGGATGTGGCGAGCTCGAAAGCAAAAGAAACTCTGAAAGTATATTTTAAGGAAATACTGGCACTGACTGGATTCAGTATCAATGGTACAAACGTCAACACTGATGAGCCGATTGGAAGTGCTAGGGGTCAGCAGACTCTAAATCATATCTGTGTGGAGAAAATTGACAAAACAGAAATCCTCAAGTTCAGTGAAGACCTCATGCGGGAGGAGATCCAGAACAGTCTCAGATTAGCACGATTCTTTTCCATTCTGCTTCAGGATGTGACGAGCATAGAGGGAAAGGAGCACATCCCAGTCTTCATCAGGTCTGTCACAGTAGCTGGGTTTCCACAAAAACACCTCATTGGGTTCCTACCATGCGATGTGGATGCAGAGAGTCTGTTTTACATGCTTCTCTCTGAGTTAAGAAACAAGTGGGGGCTGAGGATGGAGCACTGCAGAGGACTCACTTATTTGGTTACAGGCAGTATGTGTCAGAAAATGCGAGACCTTACTTGCAGGATTCTTCAGGAGTTCCCACAAGTAGTTCTGTCACCAAGTGACCCATATGCCTTCAACATATGGCTTATTCGTTGCATGCCTGTGCCTTCCATCCAGAAGGTTGCAGACACTGTAGAGGAGGTGGCCTCATTACTCAGGAGAACTCCAGAGCTGTCCAAAAGATTGGAAGGAAAGATCCAGATGGCATATGGGCATGTAAAAGGAGAAGTGGATCGGATCAAAGCAGCTGTCAGTGGGAATTGGGAGTACACCACTGATACCTTCCAGACCATGTTAGATATTCTGGAGCCATTCCTGAACTGCATTAATGAGATGATTTCGAAGGTAGATGAAGATACTGCTGAACAGATGGCCAAGCTCAAGCCAGTTTTGAAGAATTTCAATTTCATCATCACACTTGTTGTTCTAAAGAACACTCTCTGTTGTGTGAGCATACTCAACTCGAGTCTCAGGGGAATAATTAGCATCAGCAGTACCTTGCAGTACACGATTTCCAATGCCTTAAAGCTGGTAAGCAAATATCAACAGGAACTTGCCATATTCCACAGGAAATGGTTTTCAGATGCAGTTGGTCGAGCCAAGAAGCTGGGAGTGGAGGTCAGTAAACCAGAGATAGACCAAGGTGACAAAACTGACACACCACTGGAGGACTTTTACAGAGAAACTATGAGCCGGCCTATCTTGCTCTATCTTGTTGCAGAAGTGAAGAGAGTGTTCAGCACTGAGATGGTGAGGATTCTTCGATGGCTGTCATTAGTGCCATCTTACATGGCTGACCACAATTTCAGCATTCGTAGAGACAAAGTAGCAGATGCCAACTTGAACAATCTTGCAAGGCCTGACACATTTTATGAAGAACTTGGTTGTTGGGAAGTGAAGTGGAGGCATGCAAGCAAGCGAAGAATCTTACCAACCACAGTGTTTGCTACACTTAAGATTCCAGATATTGGGTTTTACCCAAATGTGCAGAGCTTGCTCAGGGTGTTGGGCACTGTTCCATGTGTAAATGCAGAGGCAGATGTCTATGGCCAGTACCATATGGTACTCGAGCGGTGCCACTCTTATTTGAGAGCCACACCAGAGGAGCAAAGACAGTGCAGCATGGCATTTGTCTACGTGAACCAAGATGTGCATTTCAGTGTTGAACAGATGGTGGAGTCATATGTCCAAAAGCATCCAGATATCCTACAGTTGCTGCAAATGGTGAGTAGCCATATTGTAAGCAGAATAAGGATCTAATTCCGTCACGTTAGTAATTAGCAACTTTACACAAAAATAACTTGTACTGTGTGTCTGTGATCATTTTGTGTGTTACAGGAGTATGACACAAAAGAGACGCATCCCCAAGGTGAGTAATCTTTTTTTAATTTACAACTGTTTCAGCATTCTCCAACTTGTGGTTAATAGCATCACATAAATCCAAAATTTACAATTCACGGCAGTGTACTTCTCCAAATACAGCTTTATACACAAAGAATGTAAAGGGTATGGAATAGGCTAATGATGCTAGCTCACTTTCATGTGTGTCAGCCATCGGTGAAGGACAACGGCATCGTCTATTGGCCCGACCCTAGTACAGAATGATGGCTGCTGAACATTTTAAGCAATATGACAAGTTTATTTATACATTTTAGGATTAGATATATATGTTAGTGGAAATAATTTAATAATTGTAATTGTATTTTTGTTAAACAGTATTCTTTAGTGTCCATACTTTTCTTTTCTTTTCTTTTTTTTTGCTTGTTTGTGTGCTCCATTAACCACAGTTTAGCTTACAAGGCCATTCCCACTTTACATTTCAGTGGCAGCTCATGAAAACCATGCTGAAAAGGATACTGAAGAGGAATTACAACTCCTAAACCTAGAGATGGATGCTGAAAGGCTTGTGGAGATGAAGTGTGCAGAGACCGATAGAGAAGCTCTTAAATCTGCTTTGCAGGCTGCAGTAGCAGCTGCATACAGCAGTCAAAGCAGACTACATAGTGATGCCTCTCCTGGTCAGGATGGAGATATAGAGTATGTGACCAAGTCTGAAATGAAAGAAGTTCTTACTGTGTGCGAGAACGCTGTCAGGGAGGGAATTCTCATGGAAGTGGGGAGTTCATTCTTTTCCTTATTCATTGACCGTGTTGTGAAACTGGGGGAGAAGGACTACCTTCCACTTTTCCTTAGATTTGTGGACAGTTTTGATGTCATGCGACTGGAATTGATGGGATTCCTTGAGGCAGATCTTGCTTGTGATACTATGGTACAACGCCTTCTGGAAATAGTTACAGTCGAGTGGCATCTTGATTTAAGTAACTGCAGAGGTCAAGCATACCTAGGATCTGGTGATGTCTCCTACAAGCTGAAAGCCTTTGCCTGCAAAGTCCAGGAGAACTATCCCCTTGCTATAAGCACACACTGCTCTTCCTACTCTTTCAACACATGGTGGTCAAAATCCATTCCAGTGCCTGCTGTTAAAAGAGCCCTGGATACATTTGAAGAAGTTTTAATGTTTTTTGGCAGCAGTTCTACTTTAGAAAAACAGCTTGACCATGTGATAGCACTTGGTCTTAGAGAGAGCTATGAAAAGGTCCAAGAGTTACAAGGGAAGTTCTGTTCCCTTTGGCAAGAGAAGCATGATTCTTATGAGGTGTTTGTGCAGATGCTGGAGCCCCTGGTCGAATGTCTGGAGAAAATCAAGAACAACCCACAGAGATGGAAAGTCTTTGTGTCTGAACAAGCTGGGGCACTTCTCCACAAGGTAATGGAATTTGATTTCATCATTGCCATGGTGGTCTTGAAGAATGCATCATCTTTTACCAGAGAATTGAGTGCAGGTCTCCAGAAGGACCACTTCAGTGCTGCATCCCAACTTTGCCATATTGGTGGCATTGTGGCCACTCTGAACCGAGTAAAAACGAATATGAAAGTTTTTCACCAGAACTGGTTTGATGAGGCCTGTGCAATGGCACAGAGCCTAAGAGTGCAGATTGAAGTGCCTGAAACCTCTGTGCCAAGGGATGGCATGATCAAGCCAGTCGGGTTTTACAAAGATGGTTTAAGTGTGCCCCTAGTAGATAACCTCATCAATGCGGTGAAGGATCATTTTTCAGAAGATCACAAGGAAGCGCTTAACTTTCTCTCTCTGGTTCCATGCTCAGTCACCGTGAGTTACATGTTTGAGAGCTTAAAGACAAAGCCTCCTCTCTACAGCCGTGATCTTCCTGATGCTGACAACTTCTTCACAGAGCTTTGCTGTTGGAGAGTAACCTGGAAGACCAAAGTGGCATCTGTGACCATCCCAAACTCCATATTTCACACATTGCGTCTGCCACTCATGCAGTTCTTCGGGAACATCAATGCACTGCTCAGGGTTATGTCTGTACTACCTAGCACAGCACTGGAAGACTGTGGTGTTGTAATGCGCCACAAGAAGTTCCAAGAATACCTGAGAAATACAAATCCTAAAGACAGGTGCCCATGCTTGGCTATGCTGCAGGTGGGCACTGACTTCAGCAGAGACCTGGACCGCATGGTGACCCAGTGTTTGAAGGTTACTCCACAGGCCTTGGAGGGTATCTGTCTGGTATGTGCTTGTATTCCTTAAAAAATGACGGTATGTTGCATTTCTGTTTGATTCTTTATACTTTAGTAATTATATGAATGTACCTGTCTATGTTCACACAGGACAGGGAATCCAGAAGTTTCATAAGGACCACTGAAAATAATATGGAAGGTGTGGTTATTGAGATGTTTTTGATTACATTTATTAATAAACTCTTAGCAGTAAAAGTATATTATTAACTCATGTTCATACTAATACCAGTTTTTAAAGTATTTTTCCATGATTTCAGTGTTTGCCACAACAGTGATGTTGTCTGTCTTTCTCCCTGATATATTTAGTTGACTGTGTCAAGGAGGAAACCGAGGAGATCAAAATTGAACAATTACCTGACAAGGCTGAGGGCCAAGACTTGAAATCAGCAGATGAGAATGGGCATGCAGGAGATAATCATCAAAGTTTAGCTACTGTGTTCAGACTTGCTGCACTCCTGGGGAAAAGGAATAGCAGCCTGTCTGACCTCTCGGAAGAGGACCAAGAGTTTTTCAGCCAGGAACTAAGCATGTGCCACTGGTTTGGAAGTGAGAGCAAATTCACACCATCTACAGGTGATAATGAAATGGTAAACCTCCTCATAAATGGAATCAGAGATGTCATACTCAAGGAAATACACGACTCCCCGTTCTTTTCACTTATCACAGACAAACCTGTTAAAATCACTGACAAGACACACCTACCCGTTTTTGTGAGGTATGTCAGGCAGTCTGCTCCAAAAGTAGAGCTCATGGGTTTTTTACCATTTAATGAAAACTGCCACATTGAGACACAAGCAAATAACCTCGCAAAGATTCTCACTGAAGACTGGGGCTTACCAATGTCTCAGTGCCGAGGACAAGCATTCATGCACTTGGGCTCAGGTTTCCAAAGCCTGAAGAAAATGTCTTTGGATTTCCTCACGAGTTATCCATTCTCTGTTATAACGCCCAGTGAGTCTTGCGGCCTTGCCCATTGGCTGGCAGGAAGTGTGCCTTGCCCTTCAGTAGTAAAAATGTTGGATATCACAGAAGACCTGCTGCTGTTCTTTGATGACTCTCCTTGTCTGGAGGGAGAGTTAGCACAGGCTGCTGATGGGCTTTTAAATATGCCAAGAGAGGCCCTGGAGGAAATTCCAGAAACATGTTGCTCAAGGTGGAAAAAGAGAGAAGACTTCTTTGACATACTTGCTGACACATTAGAAGGCATTCTCAATTGTTTAGATGCTGTTAGCTCTAGTGCCGCAGGTGCCAAGTCAGTGCATGCACAAGTTCTCTCTACTGCTCTCAAAAATATGGATTTCATTGTCACTCTTGTGATTTTGAAGAATGCTTGTGCTCCTCTTCGTAACTGTAGCACTGTCTTCCGCTGTGGAAATCCTGCTGATATTCTCTGTGAAGTGGAAAAAATCCCTATAATCATAGAGACGCTTAACAAAATGTTAGAAAATGTGAGCACTGTGCACTCCACTTGGTTTGAGCAGGCCTTCCAGCTAGCAACCAAGGTAGCTCCTGAACAAGTGTGCTTCTCAGAGGAAGCCATCAGCTGTGAATCTCCTGAGATATATTACAGAGACAATCTGAGTGTCCCTCTCCTTAGAAGTCTCATTGATGAAATGGAGTACAGCTTTTCAGACAGCCACTTAAAAGCCCTGTCGGTCTTGTCATTGCTGCCCTCCTGCAATCCTCAGTCTGTTCTATCAGAGTCTACAGACAAACCTTTCAGCCTCTACCTTACATCTCTTCCTGATCTGGAAGCAGCTGAGCAGGAAATAAACGCCTGGGCCAATGTCTGGAGAGAGAAATACCAGGATGTTGCTCCTCCAACATCCATCGCTGAAACACTAGCCCATCCTGAGTCAAAGAGCTACCCTGCTGTTACTTTACTGCTTAGGCAAGTAGCTGTCCTGCCGAGTGTCAGTATGGAGTGTGATCTGATGAAGACGACACTGAATTCCATGAGGGATCTGTTAAAAAACACTCTTTGCAAAGGCAGCATAACGGATCATGTGATGCTTTTCTCTCACTGCGCAACACTGCAGAGACTGCCAGAGGTTGTTGAGAAGTGTATGGAGGTTGATCCAGAGAGCAGCACATGGCTATCCAAGGTAAATTTGAAATTGGTTTTCTTTGAATTGTACTACAGCTGCAGTAATTTGTAATTTATCGAAAGGAAATTTGGCAACAGTTTTGATTAATGGATTAATTGTCTAAATGGATTTGTAAGCAAAATTGTAGGCTGCTGTTTTCAGATGTTCTGTCTTCCGCAGTAGTACACTGAGTATCTTTTGGGTATGTAGTGTAACAAAACTACATTTGAAGGCAACCTCAGATTCTGGGAAATTGTGTAATGAACACATTTTTTTTTGTTTGCTGCTCTTATATATACCAAACAAGCAATTATTCAAAAAAAAAGAAATTAATTGCTAAAAATATTTGTTCTAAAAATAAAATATTTTTTTATATCCTAGGGATGCACCAGTGCCGATACCAGCATTGCATCTTGGGTCTGATCCCACCCTGTAGTACTGTACTCAAAAAAAAAAAAAAAAAAGTTGTCCAATACCATGCACTGATACCAATTAATGTTAAACTCACACTGGCTGAGCTGGTCATGGGCAGCAGACATGAAATTTCAGCAGTCTGGGGATATTTTAAGATGAGTGACGACAAATGGAAAGCCGACTGCAAGGAGTGTTGCAGCTGTATACCAGTTTCACGGTATACCGCATTTGCGGCATTTGCTTACCAGTATTGAAGAAAAAAAAATGCAATGCGTGTGCACCTTTCTTCTTCAACTGCCTGTTAGACTCCACAACGGGTGCCACACGCACATGCAGCAGACAAATGGCAGAGTTTGCACTTGGATACAAGCTAGTCGAGAAGATCTCCACCTCATCCAACTTTAATATATAACATAACAGTATAGAATGGATAGTAGCCTACTTCTACTTTTAATACTTTAGGTACATTTTCATGATAATACCTAATTAAGGGTTACAATAACTGATAATAACCGTGTAATATCGTAACACTGTGAAACAGTGATATTTTCTTACTTTGTTATCATACCATGAAAATCTCATACCATTGCAACCCTAACTGGTGTGTGTGTGTGTGTGTGTGCGTGAGTGAGTGAGTGAGTGAGAGAGAGAGAGTGCCCCCGTGAGTGAGTGAGTGAGTGAGAGAGAGTGCCCGTCCCTCCCTGTCTCACAGACACGAGATCACATTTTACACAGACATCAACACTCGATATGTGCAACAAAACCAACAGTAATGGTGAGGGTAATTAATCAGACACCTGTTGAAGAAACAAAACACAACAACAAAATTGCAGAATTGTGATGTCTTCACTCTCCCCGTGGTCAAAATGCCTGGTCCCAAGCACCACCACGGTGCTCGTTATGCTGATTGTAGTGAACTGCTGTGAACGGGAAGAAAATAAACACTAACTTTATGTAGTGAACACTGAAATGAGCTCTATGAATGAAAATGTGTTGAATCCTTGTGGGCCAGCAGCTCCTCTACAGCAGAGCAGGTGTGTGTTCAGCAGAGGACAGGACGAAGCCACAGACAGTCGCCAGTGCCGAGTTTCCATGTTCTCCCCCGTGCTTGCGTGGGTTCTCTCCGGGTGCTCCGGCTTCCTCCCACAGTCCAAAGACATGCAGCTTAGGTCGATTGGTGTCTCTAAATTGCCCGTAGGAGTGCTTGTGTGTGTGAGTAGTTCATCTGTGTGTTGGCCCTGCGATGGGCTGGCGACCTGTCCAGGGTGTCCCCCGCCTTTCACCCGCAGCTGGCTGGGATTGGCTCCAGCCCCCCGTGACCCCGTTTGGGACTAAGCGGTTTAGAAAATGGGGGGTGGGTGGGGTGGTAATAGTTTGTTTTTTATAGTAGAAACATTGCATCATTAAATACTCGGTATCAGTGAGTACTCAAATGTAAATGCTTGGACTTAGCCTAACAAAAGGAGGCATTGGTGCATCCCTATTGTATCCCTAGGTTATTAATCATGTTAAAAAATTCTAATCTTTTTAAAGCCATTGCAACTCGTACTATATAACTAACATTGTTCCACATCTTTTTTAGGTGATGGAAAGTTTTCAAAGACTAAAGCTGGGCAGTGGTAAGTGCATTCATCACTATACTGTATCATTGTGCATAAACAGTACTGTGTATGGCACAGATTTTTAGAAGAAAGTAAACCATTGGCAAAAGGCTTGTGTTTGAAGTTTGGTGTGGATCGCTGACTTTTTTTTTTATTTATTTTTTTTTAATTAGGCATTGAAGCAAAACCAGCTTCTCCAACACAATTGCAAGACTTCAGCGTAGCAGACAAGCTCACTGATGGAGAGGTGGCTTTGGCAGATAATGAAGTGGTACTGGAGGTTATTCAAGGAGCAAGGAAAGCAGTGTCTTTCTATGAGCCACAACTACGTGAACAAATCCTCAAGGAACTCTGGGACTCTCAGTTCTTTACAATTATAACTGAGCAAGCTGTTGAAATTGACAGTGAGCTCTATGTCCCCTTGTGCATCAGGTACTTAAACAAAGAGGACATTCAGTGTGAGGAAACACTGGCTTTCATCCCTTTCGCTGAAGACCCAGTTGTCCTTGCAGAAGCTATTGAGACTGCCCTGTCTGAGAAGTGGGGACTAAACATGGAGTACTGTCGAGGACAGACCTTGCTGAGTGTTGGTGACGTAGGATTTCAGATGAGGGCTGTAAGTTCTGCTATAGCTAAAAAATATCCTCAGGCTGTTAGAACAGTCAGCTCTGCTTTGTCTCTCAATGTATGGCTGGCTAAATCCTCTCCGGCTAAAGAAACAGCTGACGGAGCTGTTCTCATAGGTAAAATATTACATTGGCTCACAGAGGATGCAGAACGCCAGAACAAACTTGAAGACATGATTAGTCACGTGTTCAAGCATGATGAAGGGAAGGGTAATGAGCTGAGGGACAGACTCATCAAGAACTGGGACAAAAGTCATGACATGTATGAAGTGATGGTAGAGATTTTAGAAGCAGTCATGCTCTGCTTAAATGAGCTGAAAGGGGAGGGAAGCCCTTCAAACCAGCAGCAAGCATCACAATTCTTCAATGCAATCAGAAACTTTGAGTTTGTCCTGTCAACAGTCGTGCAGAAGAATGTCTTGAGTGTAACTGAAAAGTTAAGTCAGGCTTTTCAGGGCAAGCCCTTAGATATGTTACTTACTGTGAATAATTTACCTGATCTTAAAGCTTCACTCGGTCAACTTCAGAGTGATATTGACACCCATCACAAGGCCTGGTTTGAGGAAGCTGTCACATTGGCTTCTAAACTCCAAGTCACAATGTTGCATTCAGTACTTCTTGAGCCCCTGAGTGAGTTTTATAAAGAGTCAGTAAGCATGAAGCTTGTAGAGCACTCGATAGCAGAAATCGATGATCTCTTCACAGAAAAGGTATTGGATACCTTGAGGTGTCTGGAGATTGTGCCTTATGCAATGTCCAAAGTAGAAACCAGCATACTTAGTGGTCTCGTGTTCCGCCTGTACAAGGAGGACTTGCCAGATCAGGGTTCCCTTCACTCTGAGATGAAGTTGTGGAAGGAGAAATGGTTGGATCCCCTAGCAGGCTATCTCCCAACTACTGTGCTTGATACACTCAAGACGTCACAGATAAGAAGTTTTAGCAACATTGAAACGCTTCTTAGACTCCAGGTCATCTTGCCATTTTCAAGGAGGGAGAGCAATTTCAGACAGGGTAAAAGAAGCTTGCAGGAGTTCATACAACAGGAAAAGAGGTCTCTCAGCGAGCTCCATCCTCTGTAAGATTTGCAGGTCTTCCATCACAGCTATCAGATTTGAACAATGCATTTGAGATGTCACCGATACCATACTCAAGAACTGTGTCTCAAACCTAACTGAGGTTCTGAACTCAATATTTCTCTGTACATTATTGATCTAAATTGAGATTTCTTTTTGTTGTTATCCTGCAAACCAAGACCTATGTTATGTTGTTGTGTTTTGTTTTTGTTTTTGTTTTTTATCTATAGTTTTTACAGTTGTACTACCCAATGGGACCAATGTCTTGGCAAACAAAAACAGTGCTCCACTGATAGGTATCAATGCTTGTGCCTTGATGCAGAAGTAAAAATTCGCCCCATATATTGTGATGATACAGATGTTTAAAAATGTCCCATTGGTGTTGGAAACAACTATTTTTGTCATTACCAAAATGACCAGACTTCTGTATCATTGTATCTGTGTCATAATTCATTATAACTATTGAAGTGCACCGTTATCTTTGCAGGGCACAAATAGAAATAGCTAGTCCCATAATGTCTTCTGATGATTTCTCCTGTTTCCTGTCTCTCTGCAGGAATGAATTTGCTCTAAAGTATCTTTGAAAGAATGTTTCCTTAATAGGAAAACCTTCATATATATTTGTCAAAAAAAGGAATAAAATGCTCCAAAATATGGTTGGTGATGGTTTCTTTTCTTCAAGCACAGTGTACAGTAGACACAACTCTAAATCAACACAAGGTGGTGCAGTGAGGCTGTGCTTTTCTTTAAGAAGTAACAATCTAGTAACGTGTGGCTTGCAGCACTGTGTTTAAGTACTATGATAAGCCTGCGGTCTAAACATGGTGCCTGCAGGGATTGTATTTATGGCAACATTAATTTGGTCCTGCTGCGCAGAAGGACGTCCTACTAGCTAGTAGCTACTGCTGCTGGTGTTACTGTGTTGGTCAATGAAAATACAGCTATGAATTACCTGTGTGATAGTTTTTCTTTTAGATGAAAATAAGGAAGGTAGTTTCCCCATAATTGTTATCGGTGATGTGATTGTGGCTTATTTTAATCATTCTCTGTTAAAAATATGTGAATTCACAAAAGAGGTTGCCAGTGTTAATGATTACTGGCTGGAAATGGGCAGTTCACCCTCCAGGTTATGTTGTACTGAATTTAAAAAAAAACTGATTTACATACTGATCAAAAAGGATATGGGTGTATTAAAGTTCAACCTCTACATGATCGCTACATTTCTGATAAACATTTATTGTGCAATTACTTTTTTGTCCTCAGGTGTAAGGCCACTGCAGTGCTGGGTATGTGAGAAACAGGTTTAACTTGGTAGGCTGTTTTTCAGTGATGCAAATCATTGCTTTAAGGCCCATTGTTCCCTCTGTTTTTTAGTTAATATGTAATTAGTTAGAACAAGTGTATTCTGTGGGCCTCCTGATGGATGCCTTTCTTGTCAATTATTTGCAATGAGTTCCAGTCTGGTGTATATGCCTTTACAAGGAATTTCAATAACACAGCTATTGTACTGACAATGGGTTAGGTACTATAGCTATTACCATTTCTGACTTCATTTAATCCTTGTCTTTGTTTTCTATAACTCTAGACTGACTGGTTTTCTTCCTGTGAGCTGTAACAACAGATGCCTCCCCAACAAAGGCCTCTGATTGTCAGTGTGAAAGGAGCATCTCTGTGTCTGCTCAGTTGCTGAACAAACTGATCTGGCTTCGCTGTGGGTCGCAGCAGTGTTCACTTGCTGGCCTCACAGGAGCACACCAGCACTGCCTCAGTAACCCCATGTCTGCATTTTCTGCCAAGAGCAATGCACCCCCACCAATTTTTTTTAATGTATTTACACTTTGGATATAGAAGTGGACATAGTTTAAATTTCAGATGCAGCCTGTGTGTTTGAGCGTGAAGAACACATCCTCTGCACTTAAGCAAAACAAGATATTGCTATAATTGACCCGTGCACTAGGTTTCCTGCTGGAAGTCAAGGTTGTGCACTGATGTAAGACCTGTGGCAGTCTGTAATCATGTCCATACACAGTCAGGATTAACTGCACTCTGGAGGGGAAGACAGAAGGCTTAACTGGATTTTATTTCAAGGTTCCCTTTTTGGGAAAATTGGCAGCATAGGCTAACATTCAGATCCCCCTTTTACTATGAGCAAAACTTTAGGTTTGAAATATTTAAATGTCAGCTTGTTGATTGTACTCTTAAAGGGCACCATTTTACTTGGCATTGTAAAGGTGAAGGATTTAAAGTGAGTGAAATGTGAAGCACTGTCTTCAGTGAGTAATGAGTTAATGGGTGCTGAGGTGAGGTGTATTAGGGGTTCGTCCAATCATGAGGCAGTGAATAAATTTAATTTTATAATTGGTCACAAACTGTATTTGTGTGTCTGAAATGATTCATGTCAAGAAAGTGCTTTCCTTCTTTTTTGGACCTGTGCAAAACCATCCATTTATTTGGTCCTGGATTACATCTACAAGGCAACGGGCTTGCAATTTGGAATTCCAAATGCTTGTGTAATCCATGAAGAAGTCATCTTTAATCATTTATAAGGAGCCCTCATGCCTCTGTCAATCATAATCTAAAGGGCCAAATTCCTAAGAACCACATGTATCTAAACATTTTATTTATTGTAGCATTCAGAGGCCTGCAGGCGAGCTGGTGTCTGTCCTTGTGATTTCTCTGTCACTCTTCTGGCTTGTGTTAACCAGGAGGCGCGGGTGAAAAGATGTCTTTAAATGAATGGAGCATCCCAGACTCTGCTGAGGTCATCGCCCCACCCATGTGCCTCCTCGCCACCGCTTCCAGCACTCTCTGCCTTCAACACCTTTTGCTCCTCTTCAGCAGCACCTCTTTAGACACAGTGATATAGCTTGATATGGTCTGACAGAGGGGCTGAATGAGACAGTCTGCCATCCTTGATGCTGGAGTGTCTCTATCTAAAAATAAAAATCAAAATCGTACATAAATTTTAAGTGAGATGTCTTATGATGAGCTGAAAAACAGACAGGCAGTGTATTATGAGATAAATCCTGCAGCTGCTCTGTAGCCAGTAAATAATCTCAAGACATTTTAGTGGACTGTAGACACATCTTCTTCTTTGCAGTTCTAGCTGCATTCAAATATGATTACTTGGATGACAAGAACCGGGCAGGAATTTCACTTTTCCACCGATTCAGTTACTAGTTCTGTATCAATGAAACAAATCTAAATTGTGCCACCTGATAACATCATCATCTTGATTATCTTCTTAGCTGACAGTAGCCTAGTCTGTGTTGAAATGATTTAATCCCTGGAGTAGAAGTATCTTTTTAAGTCAGTTTTTTTTTCCTCTTTAAAGTAGTTGTTGGATCTGATTTTCATGCAGTGAACAGACTCATTTAACTCTAGATTTATAATGCTCTGTTGATTTGATAGGGCTGTAATGTTCTCAGGTGTATTACTGGAATATATGCCTCTCTCTCTCCTGGTTAAGCCTTAATGCAGGCAGCCTTTATGCTCTCAGGTCAAACAAGAATGGCCATGGAGATTTTGTTTTCTGAAAATGATCCTCCTGGGCAGTGTGAGTGCCACAGGCTTCATGAGCACACAGCTCATGGTGTCGGCTCCTGGTGGACCACATGATGTGTTCAAAAGTGCCACACATCTGTCACTTGAAAGAGCTCTTTGCTCAAAGCACAATAGAGATAGAGGTTATAAACGGATGGTATACAAAAGATGTGGGTCCAGTCAGACCGATTGGATGGAGCTTGTTGTTTCTGTGGCGATCCCCACTGAGAGCTACAGCGGCTTTTACAGGAGGGAAATCAGAGGGTGATGGGATTGTCACAAGGCTGCTCTGAAGCTTTCACCATCCCTTTGCAGGTCAAATCCGACAGCTCGTACCCTTTATCATAAGCATAATGTTCTTGTTATTTGTCAATAATCAGTTGGCAGCAGAGGCCGGCACCATTCGGTGTTTGGTTGGAGATAAGAAGGAAAATGAAAAGTAACCGCTACGGATATGGTTCACTTATTGTTTCCATTTGAAAAGCCCCTTTTAAGTTCTTGCTTTATTGCATTTATGGCGGCTGTAAATAAAACTTCTGGTTTTAATTTTGATTGGAAAATTCTCTATGGCCAATTGGGTTAAGTTGGTAATATAGAACAGGCAGAGGTGAACAAACCTCATCAGAGAATTAAACCTTTATTCATTTATGATTTGCATATTTCTGTCCCTTTATCAAAAGTCGACAAAATTAAAAGGACTCGATTTACCAGTACAAACACTGCAGTGTGCGTATGTGGATCTTTTTTCTGATTGTGGAATGAGGGTGTGACATTAAAAATGTCGGGAGAGTTGGGAGCATTGTGTTTTATATTTCCCTTTTAAAATATCTTGAAACATATTTACAGTTTTTATAATTATATTTTTAAAAAATCATATTTTTCCCAGCTGATTCACAGATGCTGTTGATTTGACTGTTCTGAGCCCAGTTGCAGCATAATAAGAGCATGGGAGTATTTTCCCAGGGCATAATAGTAACTGCACCCATTCAGGCTCTGATCCTCATGGGTGAAAGCTGAGTGTCCTTACTTCCCCTGGTAAGCCTCCAGATTCATGATCTCGGCTCAGTCCTCTTGAGATTTTATGGACAATGGCCCAACGCTGGGAGCCCAGAGACTCATTCCTCCCAAACAGTATTCAGCCAGAGCTGCGGTAACTCCAGTCCTCATTCGGCCAGGTTAAATTGTTTATATTTTTTTTAAAGTTTAAAATTCTGAAAATATTTTTGTGACACAAAAGTAGTGAAAAGGTTTCTTGTGTAAAATTCCATATAAGGTAAATTACAGTTTTTATTTATGTGCATTGACATTTTGGGTTCTTGAACGGTTTCACTGTGCTTCTCAATCATTCACAGGATTTCTCAAATTTACTGAAATTTACAAATGTACAAATCCATTAATTTAAAAAAAATGGATTTTCAGCAAAGGCTCAAATGGTTAAAGTGTGTTATTTAAAAAAGATAAAATAAAAGTTTGGAAACATTGAAATGCTTTTTTTTTTTTTTTTTACTGTTAGACACACTGTGGGTTTTTGTCAAAAACTGATTATAGTGACAATGTCATTGTAACATTAGCTCCCTAAAGCTGGTTTTGATTCTACAAGTAAATTATCTGTCATAACTCAGCTTTTATGCCGCCGTTGTGTGACATGAGTTATTTTATTGTCATGAACTCCAGTGGCTCTCTTACCCCTCTGTCTGCGGCGGAAGGTGTCCTCCCCGCTCTGTGTTGCTTAGTAGGTGAGATGTGAAGATCAAGGGGCTGCGTGTTGATCCTAGCTCAGGAATGGAGAGTCTGTGTGTAAAAAGTTTGTCTGTGGACGAGCCCGGTCCTGTTGGAAGCTCCACAACTCCCACACACACGCCTGTGCCCATTCACAGCTGACTGCTATGGAAAACCAGGATCACAGCCTCATTGTAAATAAGATACATACATAGGGGGCTATCATATAGAAAACACTGTAGTGGACTCTGTTTGGCAAACAGATTTAGACATAGGATCTGGGTATTCCCAGAGGAAGAGAGCATGTTGTGTTCTGTAAATGTGTCTGCTCCAGAGACAGCATGACAACACCCGATCTGCCAGCTATACCAGTTGCAAGGTCAAGGTCTGGACAACAGCTCACTATTGCCTTTGTCTGAGCGCTGGAGGTGCAGCAGATTCTCAGGGAAACTACACATTACTTTCCCACAGCTGCCTCTGCAACATATCACTTACATTGTGGTTAATATTTAAGGAAATCAGCCAGTCCAGGAAAATCTGTGTGGCTTTAGGGAGGTGTTTTTTTTCTTTTAAACATATGTTGGATAATATTTGTGTGTGTGCGTGTGTGCACCTGGAATACCACAGCGTCCTGTCATACTGCATTATAGCACATAGATTTTAGCTAGGCCTATTATATGGTTTCCACACTAATAAATACGTTTTTGTGTCACAGTAAATTCAGAATCTCATTTACCTTTCAGACTGAGAACTTTTCTATTTCAAATTTGATTTAAAAATAAAAACATGAAATTTCACTGCAGATAATGACACATTGGTTGTGCCATTTCCTTTAAATATCACTCACAGAAACATTAGTTAGGAAAGTAATTTGCCTGCGGATGAAGGACTGTCATAGCTGAATTTTAGCTAGAGATCATAAAGAAAACAGAAAAAAATACTGCACCACTGTCCAAATGTAAAACACTGATTCTAAGTGGATTTTGATCGAAAGCACGCATCAGCATTTACAATAATTGTAATGGAAAGATTCAGTGATTCTGTATTTAAAATCAACAGATTTAGTAGGTTACATTCCTAGTTTAATTTCAAGATTTGGAATAATAATGTCTCTTTTGCCATTAATTTGTGCCTTTCCATCTGTTTGCATGTTTAGAGTAATACATGTCATTTTATCACTACACCCACTGCCACAGCGCTAAAACTGATACAGGATTTCATTATACTGTTGGAGATACAACATGCAAAAAGACAGTAGAACAGATTCCAGAAATGAAAACAAAGCTCCAGGTAACTGAGTGCCAGTTTGCTTTCAAGAAATATTCCAATCCTTTTCCAAGCTTATTTTATATATTTGTACCAGCTTCATCTAACTTCAGTTTAATATCCTGTTTCATCCCCTTATAGAATAATTGGTGACATGAAAATGAAGCACGATAAGGTCACAGCAAACTGTCCTTTGAGAACCTCAGGAGTCTTTAAAATAGATTTATGGGAGTATGATGATGATGATGATGATGATACTAATACAAATACCATTAAAATAAAGTCACTATTTCGGCTTCACCATCACAGACACACAATAACTCACTTCAGCTCCCAGTGGGAATATTACAGGACTGTTTCAGAGTATGATATCAGCCCAACAGCAATGCAGTATAGTCGGCTGTCCCCTTGCTGCGCGCTCGGCCCCGGCGCAGGGCGCTTTCTTATGCTAATGCTGGTCTGACATCAGCAGTGAGATCAAAGCAGGGCAGGGGTACTTTAGAGCCGAGTCTGCCCCCACTCAGCCTCACTCTCCTCTGCTCAGACCAGCTCGCTCACACACACGCGCGCACTCACGGACGCTGACTCACACCATGAGTACCTGTGCGGAGCTATTCTACCACCCCGTGCTGGATTTTACTCGCGCATCAGGCTGATACAGGCACAGACCGCGCGCAAAGGATATTCGGACCTGCTGAGATTTGACCTTTTGTTTCTTGTGTTGCTTTATTCAAAGGTGAAAACTGAGCGACGCGGCAAAGGTGAGGTTAAACTGTGGCTGTTGCTGTTACTGCTTGTGTTTGGGACACGTTTAAAACTGTAGGCTTTTATTTTTGTCAATACAAAGTTCATTACTGTGTTTGTCTATAGAGCCTATAGAGTAGTGATCTGCTGAGAAAGTATAGAAAGAACTGTTGGAAATAGAAGAAACCACAATGAACTGCCTTCATTCCAGCTTAGTTTCCGTAGATTTCTTTTGCAATAATCTAGGCCTATTTTAATTTCTAGTAGAATAGCTCAGGGTGAACGCCATCACAGCTCCAGAAGAGCAGGCTTGTGGCTTCACAGGCAGAGCAGAGCATTGTTACAAGGTTGCGAGGAAAGTTTCATCGTCCTCCCTGGTCAGTCTCCATCGTCCT